TGCTAAAATTGCCAATCAAACATGCAGCCAAAACCATCATGTTAAATTGTTTAATACATTTCATTATATGACTTACGTCACCGATTAGTAGATGAAATTTAGGACTAAAATCGGTACCAATTATTAGTATTGAAACTCTTAGAGTCAATTGACTGATAAATGCAAATACAATCCATGGCTTATGTATGAAATTGAGTTCATATGTAGTGGATGTACGATCTAAATGTAGACCAATCCGGTAGAGATAACTGTCCGCATCCCTGATAGCTATATCTGGTGGTAATACCTGAGTTAGCAATCTATTAGTTTTCATAACTAAAGATTTAGTAGATTTTTTGGTTGACATACTTTGTCTTACAGTTTTTTTACGATATTAATGAAAATATGTTTAGTTTAGTAATATATTATTACTTTTGAAAATTTAATGCACTCAATAATGGACTCAAATATTTATTTAAAAAATTAATTGTTTTTATACTCTAGTGAAGTGTAAGGTATACCTGTATATAATAATTATATTAATGATAAAAATTTTATTAATGTCATCAAAAATAAACTATTAATATATTGATTAATATAATTTGCTTAATCAATAAACTAAATATTACATACAATAGTAATGTATAACATTTATGATAATTTTACATATGATAATATTGATAATAATAATTAAAAAAATGTTTTAATATAATTATTTCAAGTTGTTTTCTAAAATTATAATTTAAAAAAAAACAAAATGTAAAATACATTTTATTTAAAAATAATAAAGATAAATATAATTTTATTAACAACATTTAAACAATTTATAAGTATATTTTTTTAAAAAAAAATACAGACAAGCAATAATTATTTTATATTAGAAAAATTAATTATTTGATTAAATGATAATTTGATTAAAAATTATCAATAGCCAATCCACAGTATTCATAGCCTATGGTATGCCCTGTATTGGTAGCGGTGAATACTGTGCAGCAATAGATTATAAAACAATAGTTATTTGGAGAGGGGTGAAAAGGGTTAGATTTTATGTAGGGGAGTGAAATTTTTAAGCTAAAATAGGTAATAAAAGTAAGATAGAAAGGGTAATAAATATATAGACAACACACACACATACCGCATATATACACATTTATAAAAATAATAAAAATAACTCATACAATACAATTACAACACACACACACACACACACACACACACACACTCACATACATACCTATAGATATTTATTTATATATAAATACAATAAAAAACAACAAAATACATATATACTACATATACAACACATACTATATGTACAATATATTCAATACATACATATACAACACAAATAAAATAAAATCAACACATGCATAACAAACAACAATTATATACAAAACATTTACAACACAAATGTAATAAAAACAGCACATACCAAATGCATAAAAAACATAAAAACTATAAATATAATATAATTAATGTACATAAACCCATATACACACAACACATAAAATAACCAGTTGAGAATGCTAGAAAGCATTTCCACACGAATTCCTAATCATAATTAAAAATTAAATTCAGTATGATAAAATAAAATCAACTATAGTTATGTAGAGTATCAAACGATTTAGTATGACAAAATAAACAACTATAGTCATGTGGGGTATCAAAAGATTCAGTATTACAAAATAAACTACTATTTTCCTAAAAAATAAACGAAAAAAATAAAAAATTAATATTAAAAAAAATTCAAAAAAAATTTGTAGCGGATAGTGGATTCGAACCTATGTTCTCGTGGGACAGACAGACAGACTTATAGAATGCATATACGTATTCCTTTCAGGAATTCGTGAAAATAACATCACATTATATACAAACATTCACAACACATACATAATCACACACACATTAACATAAACATCCAAATACTAGTACACATATACTATACATATACACATAAGATACTGTTTTCTCAAATAAAGTTGTTATTGAGGGGTATATATATAAAACTGTAATAACACTTTCATATATTACAATATTACACTAATTTATTTATTAAATTTATATTTTTTAAATCAGAATTTGAAGTAAATATAAATTAGTTGTTTATAATTAGTTGTTTATTATTATTTGCTTATAATAAACTAAAATTAATTAAATTGTAAACTTTACTATTATATTTAATAACTTTTATGTAAATTTTTGTACGTATAACCAATTAAAATAAAATTTTTTGATAAATTTTATAATATATATACTATAATTAATAAATATTATAAATATCTTTAAAGTACAATATGATTTGGTGAAAATATCAACAACTAAACTTATGTTACTAAAATTTCAATAAATTAGCATTAATTTGTTATAGTATTAAATAATGCTATATTTAGTTGTTGAGATTTTTATTAAATCATATTGTATTTGAAAAATATTTATAACATTTATTAATTATAATATATTTTTATAGTATAAATTTACTGTTATATAAAATCAGGGACAAAATAGGCGGAACTAATATTTTTATTATATCTTAAAAACTAAAAGACCTAGGACAAAGATATTCAATATGATACTATGGTTTCATGGAACGTACAAAATAGTGTCACCAAATTTTTAAAAAAATTTTTAAGATAGAAATGATCAAAATAATATCATAACATAAAATCTATAGTAGATAATGATAATCTATTAAATGTATAATAAACTAGATAAAAAATAACTTGACATGTGTTTCAGCAGTTTTTATTGATTTTTGAAAGGAAAAAATAAACTACTTTAATTAAATATAAAAAATATAATATAATATTTTACAAATAATACATTATTTTTCTCTTTCAAAAATTGATACTAACTTTATTAATTATTTTTTTGAAAATTGCTGAAACACGTATCAAATTATTTTTTATCTTGTTTATTATACATTTTATAGATTTTTATTATCTACTATAGATTTTGTGATATGATATATTTTTACTATTTCTATTTTAGTAATTTTATAAAAAATTTTGTCACACCATTTTGTACGTTCCAAGGAACCATAGTTGTTTATTAAATATCTTTGTCCTAGGTCTTTTAGTTTTTGAGATATAATAAAAATATTAGTTCCGCCTATTTTGTCCCTGATTTTATTTTATTTAATTAAAAATATATAATTAATATACACGTAATGTTTAAATGAATATTAAAAGGGAAATAAATATTTATTTGAAAACATATATTTAATAAATTACATATCTATTATTTTAAAAAATAGCAGCGATATAATTGAAATTATCTACAAACAAAAATTATTTAATAAAAAATTAAATTACTGTTAACTTTAATAATTAATTTAGTTATTACTTACTTCATATCCGCGAAAACTGTTTATAATAAATAATTTCCAACAATAAAAACCGACACTTTTTTGTGCGATCCTCTCTATCATAATGTTTATCTAAATTAAATTAAAAATTATATATAAACACTAAATAATTATTAAGTTTTATTATTGACTAACTTTAGCTTTTATATTAAATTTTAAATAATCATTTTCAGCAAACAATGAATTAAACAATTGATACGATTTATTAGCCTCAATATAGACATCCGATGAGACATAGATTAATACCCAGAGTATGAATATATAGATCAGAAAAAATGATAAAAATAATAATTTTGATACAATAGGTATGTCATTGAATAGTAAAATAAATGCCAAAACAGCTATCACTGTACCGACAGTTGTCCACATAATTAACAAATATTTAGACCAATAGGTTGAGTTGTATTTAGAAATTTCCAAATATACAGCATTTAGTTTATGTATTAGATTTAAGATATTATTATTATAGTTATTGAATTGTCTGTCTTTAAGATTGTGATGAACTGATTTAATGTCAACCAATTGTTTTAATTGCAAATTCATTGACATTAACTTGATTTTAACAAACTGTGTAACAATAAAATAGTAGATAAATTGTACGACAACCACATTGTGAGCAAAATATACTGAAAATATTATTGAATGTGGCAATGCTATTGCAATTATATCATTGTAGGTTATAAAACGATAAACCAGTATATGATAGATAACTATAGCAGATATACCTAAACATCTAGGTAAAATTATGCTTAAACGCAATAATTTACTAGATAAATTAGCAAATTTTAGTAATAAATTTACATTGCTCAAACCAACATTGATCGGACTCAGTTTGCCCGATAACATTTTAAATATTTGATCATGTTCACATTTAACACTATGATGATAGTTATAATAATTATGTAGCATGCTAAAATTGACAATCAAACATACTGCCAAAACCATCATGTTAAATTGTTTAATACATTTCATTATATGACTTACGTCACCGATTAGTAGATGAAATTTATGATTAAAATCGGTACCAATTATTAGTATTGAAACTCTTAGAGACATTTGACTGATAAATGCAAATACAATCCATGGCTTATGTATGAAATTGCGATCATATGTAGTTGATGTACGATCAAACTGTAGACCAATCCGGTAGAGATAACTGTCCGCATCCCTGATAGCTATATCTGGTGGTAATACCTGAGTTAGCAATCTATTAGTTTTAATAACTAAAGATTTAGTAGATTTTTTGGTTGACATATTGTCTTAGTTTTTTAACGATATTAATGAACATATTTTTAGTTTAGTAATATATTATTACTATTTAAAATTTAATGCACTCAATAATGAACTCAAATATTTATTTAAGAAATTATTTTTTTCATACTCTAGTGAACTTTAGTGTATAGTATATATACAATGTATATATTGTGTATAGTGTATACTGTATACCTGTATATATATATACATTTATAATAATTATATTAATGATAATAATTTAATAATTTTTATTTATTTGTCATCAAAAATAAACTATAATTTGCTTAATTAATAAACTAAATATAAAATACAATTCTAATGTATAATATTTTTTAGTAATTTTTACATATAATAATATTGATAATAATAATTATAATAATGTTGTATTATAATTATATTAGTTCTAATCGTTTTTATTCTAAAATTATAATTTAATAAAACAAAATTTAAAAAACATTTTATTAATAAATAATAATAAAGACAACATAATTTTAAATAATTTTATTATAATTTTATTAATAACATTTAAACTATTTATAAGTATATTTTTTTAAAAGAAATAATTATTCAACAAATGTATTTCATAGTAAAATATTATTTAATTTTAATATTATTAGATTAGATTTATAATTGATTTATACAGTATTTCATAAAATAACTAAAAAAATAAAATATAATAGTCATTAAATAATTTATTAATATTAATAAATTATAATCTAGATTAGTTGATATAAACTTGATAAGTTAAATACTATGATATAAGTTATTTAGATATTTTAAATGAAAATAAAAATTAATTACTAATATTATTGTGTAAATTACTACTGGAAAATTATTTGAAAATTATTACAAAAAAACAACATTAATATTATTTTAATAATATTATAGTAGCGTTAGTATTTAATTTACTATTAATAGCAAATTATTTACATTTAGTCAATAAAATATAATTAACAAAAAAACAATGTAAAAATTAATTGCATTAACATAAAAACTTCAACATTTTAGTTGCATATTATTTTCAAAACTAAACATTTAAATTTTATTTCTAATCTAAAATAATAGATTTAAATGTTTTATCTGTTATATTGTATAACTACTATATTTAGTATTTAATATTAATGATAGTATAACATTAACAATACTAGTATTGATAATATCTAATAATAAATATTTACACTAATTTTTTACGTTTAGTAATTTGTCAATTGTTTTTGTCAAAAATAAAATAATACTTTACAACAATTAATTAGTTTGCATATATGATAATTTTTTTAAATTCAATAAATTTCTATATTTTCTAACCATTAGATCAATTAATATAAACAAAATCAATGATACGCCCAAATATATGAACTCCATTATAATAAAGATAACACTATTGTCTTCAATATAGTTGCCGACAATAAACGGTGTGACCAGTGTTAGTATACCCCGACAAAGTAGAAACAGTGCACTCAAACGGTTAGTCATATCCAGATATTGTTCGGCCCATGTTATGATACCAGTATACATGGCTGACATACCCAAACAGATAACTATGCTCGACAGCCATAGCATAATTAAATGATGTCGAGACAGTAACAACATAACAGTGCCCACAATCAGAAAGCCGTAATGAAATACTAAAATAGTTTTGATTTGAAATCTATTTGGAAAAAAATAAATTTATAAATAATTAGTTAGCAAAAATTGTTTATAATTTTAGTCAATATAAATTTATAGTTAATTTTTTAGCATAAATATGGTGTTTTATTATATAATTAATCAAAATAAATTTTTTTTAATTGTCATTTGGTAGTTCAATATTAGTGGTTATTTATTATTTTAAATATAAACTAATTTTTTAGTAAAAATATTTTTTTTCATTCACTTACTTATACGTATATAATATATTGAGTCCAAGTCCTGCCGTATAGACACTAATGGCTACCGAATATATTTCGGCCGACATTTCGGCTGACAATTTAAGCGGCGAATACTGGAAGTAAGTGACGGCAAACTTCATGAATAGGGTTTCGTAGACCAGGTATAAGGCGTATAACAGTGCAAATAATAGACGAAATGTTTTACGGGGAACGTCCGGTCTGTCAAATAGTTTGGTCATAACTGTCGTAGAGTTGTCTATCATTTCATTGTTGTTGTTGTTATTACTATCGATATCATTGATCTTATTTTTGGGCTCTTTATACGGCTTAAATAAATACATTACAAACAGAGATATCGGAACTAAATAATAATAATAACAATAATAAGTATTAAATGTTATATAATTAATGTGTTTCAATATACTTGTCATAATACAGGCGCCGATAATAAGGGTCGGTATCATCAATCGTGATCTCCGATCAATGAATACACTTTCATCGATATACAGGTATAGCTCGCTATTGGTTTGGATTGTCATATTTGTTACGGTAGTTGATTCAGTATTGCCAATTAGGTATGGTTTCAGTGATACTGTTGCCAATATACAGCCGATACCAAAAGCAAACTCATAGATCTGTACCATTGGCACACGTGTACCCCTTCCCAGTTCAATGGCCCAGACATATATTGAACATATGAATACACTGGAACTGATACCAATGATAAACGCACACAAAAATAGTACATATAGATGGGGTACCAATGGTATGACTGCCGATGCAATAGTCAATAGTGTAAAAAATATACTCATCACTAGCTGTCGACTAACATATTTATATAATAAGGCAACTGATTTGTGAGATAAATTTAATTAATATCTATTATTTAATTAATTTTATATATATATATACATTCATAACTAACCAACTGTTCCCAATATGAAGCCACTGGTTTCAAATGTGGTAAACAGTGATACCCAACGCATCGATGTATTCAATATATACTTCATGTCTACCATAATCGGTGCGTATACTGAATATACCATTCCCTATAATTTTTTAAAGTATTATTTTAGATAATAAATTTATTTTGTTTATTAAAAAAATATTAATTAATAAAATATATTATTATTATTTCATACATATGCAATGCCACTGCCAAATATTATTGATGTATAAATAAATCGTTCATAATTATTTGGTAAACTTAAATTTTTAAAACCCATTTTTTGAAATCAAAATTTTATATAATTAATGAAGTTTTTATGAGTTTTATAGTTAATACTGAATATGTTTTTTTAAAAAGCTAAATATATATTATTTTTTTTCAAAGTATATTATTCAATATTTTATTATAAATTACATAATATAAATGACATTGAAATTACTGTAAATTATTATTAACAATTTAACAATAATAAAGTTCTAAACATTGTTTTATATAGTTTATAATTTACACTTATATTAAAAATTATTTTTATTACATTAATAGTTTTATCTATTATTTAATAGACTAAGAAATAAGTTTTATTTCGAAAACATTTAAACTAATAATTAAAAACAATTTTTTTGCGAAATAGACTGTATGTATGACAATGATAGTGAAATTTATTACAGTTGTTTAAAAACAGATTAATATTATTTTGAAATATTAATTTTAATTAATTAATAATCTCAAATCAAATATAAAAAAAATAAATTACATAATACATTATAAATTTAAACAAATATTTTATATGACACACAAATGTTATATAAGTATCTATAAAATAATTTACAGTTTTTTTTTTAATAAATAACAGTTTCTAATGACTGATAACAGAGAGTCTTCTCATATCATTTGGTTGACTGTTTGAACGCAATTGTCTCATCACTTGATGTTTATTACTGTTGTTGTCAACCGTTGATAAATGTCTGAACCGGCGAATCATAATATCAATAGTAATAAACAGTACCAACGAAACACCCAAATAGATAAACTCCATTATAATAAATATTGAACTGTTGTCTTCAATATAGTTGCCGACAATAAACGGTGTGACCAGTGTTAGTATACCGCGAAACAGTAGGAACAGTGCACTCAAACGGTTAGTCATATCCAGATATTGTTCGGCTATTGATAAGATACCGGAATACATGGCCGAAAAGCCCATACATGTTAGGATAGTACTGCACCATAGAAATGACAGTGAATTTCGGGCCGGTATTAACATAACTGAGCCGCCAATTAGAAATACATAATGAAATGATATGATTGTCTTTATCTGAAACCTAATTTCAATAATAATAATAAAATATTTATTACTTAATTGTTTTTTTCTTATGTAATGTAATTAAATGATATAATAATAATTTCTTTTTTGTTATGCAATAAATTATTATATTAATATATTACTTATAGGGATACAGTATGTTAAGGCCGAGTCCAGCCGTATAGACACTGATGGCCACCGAATAGATTTCGGCCGACCGTTCGGCCGACAACTTCAGTGGCGAGTACTGAAAGTAAGTGACGGCAAACTTCATGAATACCGTCTCGTAAATCAAATACATGGCATAAAACAGTGCAAACAACAGTCGTATAGTTTTGCGCGGAGTCTCCTTTCGGTCAAACAGTTTGATATCAGTTGTTGCCGTCGACATACCTGTCCTTTCATTAATATTGTTGTTGTCGTTATCATCATCACTACCTTTCTCTTTGGGCTCTTTATACGGTCTCATAACATACATTGCCAACAAAGATATTGGTACTAATGATTAGTTAATATAATTAGTTACTAATGATTAATAATTAAAAATCTATACTTATAATAATGCATGAGCCAATAATCAATGTAGGTTTCATTAAACGGGATCGCCTGTCAATGACCACTTCCTCATCAATAACCAACTCCTCATTGCGGTTAAAATCATAAAATGTTTGGTTTGATTTTGTATGAGTTGGTGATGTTGATGTCTCACCAATTAGATAGGGTTTAAGGGCTACAGTCGATAGTATGGATCCGATACCGAACGACAATTCAAATATCTGGACAATTGGTACTTTGCCGCCTCTTCCCAATTCAATGATCCACATTGAAACTGCACAGACAAACACACTGGAACTGATACCGATGGCAAACGCACACAAATACAGTACATACAGATGAGGTACCAATGGTATGACCGCCGATGCAATAGTCAATAGTGTAAAAAATATACTCATCACTAGCTGTCGACTAACATATTTATATAGAAAGGTAACTATAATAATATAATTTGATGATTGAAAACATTAATATAAATATATATTTTTCTATATAATACTACTTTTTCAATAAAATTGTTAAAATTTATATACATTACCAACTGTGCCCAATATGAACCCACTGGTCTCAAATGTAGTGAACAGTGATACCCAACGCATCGATGTATTCAATATATACTTCATGTCTACCATAATCGGTGCGTATACTGAATATACCATTCCCTGTATTACATAAATATTAAAATGTAAAAAATATATGATTAATAATTTTAAAATTATTATTATTATTATTATTATTAAATTAGATTAACATTTAAAAATTTTAAATAAACAAAATATTACATATGAAATTCCACTGGCAAACAGTATAATTAGATAAATGTATTTATCATAATCTATAAATTTTGATACTTTTTGTAAATTCATGGTTTTATTATTTTTAAATTTAATTAATTAATTAATTTTTCTATAAATATGTTTAACTCAAGCTATAAGTATTTTAAGTGTTAAGTAAACTAAAATATATTTATAATAACAATAATCTAATGAAAAATCAAGTTTTTTTTATAATATATCAACAGTTTTTAAATGTTTTATAAATATAATAAAAGTAATCAATTTGTACTAAGTTTTAGTATTATATTATAAAAATATATTAACTATATTTTGAGATTATAAAACAATAAATTTCTATTTAATTGACTTTATTATTTTGGTAACTTTGTTGTTATATTGTCTAATTTATATAAATAAATAATATAAATTATACTATATATTAATTTTTTAATTAATCTGATATCTAAAATAATTTAACATTAATAAAACACGATATACTGTATAATATAGTTTCATTTACTGTACAATTTTTTTCCTAAGTATATAATTTATAATAATAATTTCATTTTTAAAAATTCAATTATTATTTATTGACTTTCATATAGTGTTGGCAAAAAGAGAATTTTGTAAAGTAATAAAGAAATTTCTAGAAATTTCTAAAAGAAATTAAAATCTTAGAAAACTGATTATTATTAAATATTTATAATTATTTAAAATATAGCTATTCCTTTTTTTGTATAGTAGTGTTATTACATTATATAGTATAATGTTATATGAATAGTATTATTAATCATTTATTAACTCTAATTAATAATTTATTATTAAAACCAGTTGAGAATGCTAGAAAGCATTTCCATACGAACTCGTTATCCAAAGTAAATTTTACTTATGTTGGATATCTAATGATTTAGTATGACAAAATAAACTCAACTATAGTGATGTAGGGTATCAAATAATTCAGTATGACAAAATAAACTCAACTATAACCATGTGGTGTATCAAATGATTTAGTGTGACAAAATAAACTCAACTATGGTCATGTGGGGTATCAAATGATTCGGTATGCCAAAATAAACTACATTTATTTTTATATTTTTGCCACTTTTTGAAAAAATAATCATCTGTTATACCTTATTTTTAATTCTCTATACAATTCTTAATGTTAAAATTTTTAACTATTTTTTACTTTGACCGCCATTTTTCTATGTTCCCGAAAAGATATCAAAATTTTAAAGCATATTTTTTATACTTGTTTTTGATGCTTTATTCAAATCTATACTTAAAAATTTTTGCCTAAATTTTTTTTTACTTTGGCCGCCATTTTCTCTATGTTTCCGAAGAGATATCAAAATTTTAATGCTGATCCCCTATACCTTATTTTTGATGCTTAATCCAAATCTGAAGTCAAAATTTAAAAATTCAATAAAAAGCGGAAGGACGGAAGGACATATAGAATTCAGATACGTACTCCTTTCAGGAGAAAATAGCTATAGATATGGGGATCCCATAGTAGTATAACAATAAAGTCAATTTCTATAGAAATTTTCAGAAACTTTCTATTTGCCCATCTCTACTTTGATAACTAAATTAATAAAAACTAGAAATAAAGTGTAGAATGTGTAGAAATTAACCAGATAATTTGCATTTAAAATAAATAGTAAAAATAAAAAATAGCAAATAAAATTTTTTTTTGTATACATTCAAATTGTATAAATTTTTATAAATAAAATATTAATATTTACAAAATTATTTATATATGAAATATTTGTTTCATAAATTAAAAATAATATCACAATTACATTTTTAGCCATTTAAAAAAATATTAATCCAATATATGAAATCATCTTAAAATAATGTTTATAATTTAATCAAAATTAAAAATTAAAATAATAAGTTTAGAAAATTTATCTTTATTATAATTTATTTTCCATTATTTTATAAATATCGCTTTACAAACAGTGTATAACAATTTATTATATTGTATCATTTAATATTTCTATTTTAATATTTTTTTAGTAACAATAATAATATTCTATAATATTATTAATATATAATTTATAATTTAATTTTATTAGCATTATAGATTAGTGTAATATTTATAAAGTTTAAATTTAGTTTATATTTTGCAAATTTTTAAATTATAAAAGTAGCAGTATAGTTTAAAATCGATCTATAAATTATTTTTAAAATAAAATATAATTTTAAGTGCATATTATTAATAATGAATATTATTCATAATTAATCAAAAATGGACCTAAATTGCTAAATACAACATCAAAATTGATATATATTAGAAATATATTAAAAATAATACCTTAATATATATTATTTATATTTAATTAAAAATTAATATACAACAAAAAATACAAGCTTTGTAGTATATTTTATCAAGAAAAGTAAAAATATAAAATAATTTTATATTTAATATAATATAACTTTAAAATAAATATTGTAATAACTATAAACTAAACAAAAAAACAAATAGAAATAAACAATTATTACATTTCAACCATTTTGAAAAATACGATTACAACATATAAAATCAGCTGAAAAAAATAATTAATTTATTAGTTAATATTTTTAATCATAATGTTTGATAACCAATAACTTACTTCAAAACCGTGAAATGAGTCTATAATAAACAATTTCCAACAATAAAATCCAACATCTCTTTTGGCTAATCTTTCAATAGTAGATAATAACTTTAAAATAAAAATATTAAATAATAAAATTACCTAAGAAAGTAATAATAAGTTTTTAAAATTAAATATAAATATTATACAAACTTTAGTTTTTGTATAAATTGTTAACAATTTATTTTTGGCAATCAATGAATTCATCAAATAATATGATTTATTTGCTTCAATATAGACAATGGAAGTAATATATATGATAAACCATAACAAAATTATATAAATTATTAAATATGAAACAAATACTGATTGTGAATCAAATGGTATATCACTGTATAATACAATATATGCTAAAACAGCGATAATTGTCTCCAAACACGACCAAACAATAAATAGAAATCGACTCCAATAGCTATCATTGTATTCATTGATTTCCAAATAAATGGCATTTAATTTATGCAATAATTTAATGACATTAATATTGAATTCTTTTTTATTATTATTGTAAACTTTATTCAATAAATTTTGAATTTTATTATTTATTAAAACTAACTTAATTTTGACAAATCTTGTAACAATAAAATAATAACTAAATTGGCATAAACTACTATTTTCAGCATAATACTCAAGAAACGCCCACAATATTGAATTTGGCAATGCTATTGTTAATAGTTTAATTAGGCTAATATTTTGTGTTAATATTAACGAATAATATGTAATAAACATATTTAAAGCTAATAGTTTTGGTAAATGTTTAGTCATATATAACAATTTACGTGATATATTGACAAACTTAACCAGGACAGCTGTATTGTTTATACCAACCTGTTTTGGGCTAACTGTGCCCGATAACATTTTAAATATACGACTGTGTGTACAATGTATACCTTGTTTATAGTTATAGAAATTAAGTAGCATGCATAAATTAACACCAATGCATGAGCCCAAAATCATAATGTTAAACTGTTTTATACATTTCATCATAAAACCAATATCACCGATGTTTAGATAAAATTCATCACTAAAATCGTTTCCAATTAGTAATACTATAGACTTGATAGTGAAATAATTTATTATTAAACATATAAACCATGGATTATGTATAGCTTTTCGCTTATATGTCGGCGACTGTCTATCCAATTGTAGTCCAATGCGATAGAGAAAACTGTCCGCATCTTTAATGACCAGGTTTTGTGATAACTTATGATTATAAAAATATTTATTGATTTTAATCATTTATAATATTTGTATTAATTATATACTTTATATGAAATACTGTTTATATATATTTATCTATAATTTTACTAAGAATTTCTATATTATTTAGAATATTTAAATTATTAAAAATTAACAAATGAGTTTAAATGTAATCTAAATAATATTAATAAATATATATATATATATATATATATATATATATATATAATAAATTTAACATTAGTATAAAACTATTTATCTGTCATTTGTTGTTATTATAATTTTTCTAATATATTTGTTTTAATCATGAAAAAGCTTCATTAATTATGCAATATTAAAAAACCCATTATAAAACACTACGAAATTAATGTGCTTTTTATATTAAGATAATTTGAATTATTTGAATCTACTGTATTGTATATTATGTTGTTAATAGTTTTTATAATTTATTATATAAGAAAAATTAAATGATAGATAAATGTCAATGTGAATTATATAAATTTTTAAAATTTTAAAATAATAAATATTATTTATTATTATTTTAAAAATATAATATATTTTATTTAATCATGAAAAAACATTATTAATTATGTGATTATTATTAAGAAACTTATATATTTATTATCTTTTAATTTTTTTTAATTTATGAATTATTGTTTTTTCCATAACATAATTTATATTATAATATTTATAACTATTCATTATTTCTATATTTATCAAGATTTCAAAAAATACATTAATTTTAGAAAAAGTTTTAATATTATAACTGTTTTTCTAAAATTGCTGAATAATGTATAAAATTTTATATTTATTTTATTTTTATAGCATTAAAAACTATTTGTATAAAAAACTATTTGTATAAAAAACTATTTGTATAAAAAACTATTTCAAAATTTCTATTACATTAGAAATAAAAATATATTGTATATTTCTACAATGAGTAATTCTCAAAATTTTTTAAAAATTTTATATACTATTTAACTATTATCCTAAAAATATAGTTTAGTTTAACATTTGTTTTCTATAGTTCAATAAGTAGTATAACAAAGAAATAGA